GGGTTTAGGGTTTAGGGTTGGATTCAAAGCTTCCTACACCCAGATGTTGTGGCGCAAGCCTTTGGTTTGAGGCTGTGGGCGGCACCCAAATCCCTAAACTTCCCCTACTTACAGGATCATGGGACTTGGTAAGAAGGGTTATAACTCATGTAACTATACTTATAACCCCAATTAGGGGACTTATTATAACCTTACTTACTAAGTCCCATGATCCTCCAAGTAAACTCAACCCCTAGACCCTCAACCCGTTGTAAGGAGGGGCTGCAGTGCACATGCCCTCATGCCCAAGCCTAACTAAACCCCTTTTGTATCCAGGCCTATTGCAACTGCCGGGTACCCCTGAAGAAAGGAAACGGAAACTGAGGGCCAGACTAAAGCCTAAACCCGAAAACCCCAAATTTTACAACAACCTCCCACACCTGTACGGCCGCTATTGTTGACCCCCCCGGGCGGTCTCAACACAGAAGCCCACAAGTACGCTTCCAAGCCAGTTCAAATCCTGTGTTGCAAGACTGGAAAGCCCTAAACCCTAAACTCGGTATACCCTTTGCTGAAGCTTGGCGGGCTGAAGGTATTCGATCGAACCTCCCTCGCCCGATCAGCGCCCCCCCGGCCTCTCGATCTCATTCAAGTCCTGATGATATCACCAGATTTACATCCTATGCTCCTGGTCTTCTGTAAATCCAAACTGAATCTTGAGGGTTCGGATTCGGGGCACCCTCTGTAAATTCCTGACGCTCTGGTGACTTATCGGGATCCCGCCTGCATGCATTGGAATCAACGCAAACAGAGCTCAAGACTCTCGGACCTCAGTCAATTTTCAAGCACTGCGGGCCAAAAGCCCTTGCAGCTCTTCCTGGCTGCGGGTATCATACCTCAACTTTCGTGTGCCCTCACTGGACACCACATGGTAACCTCGGTGTGAGAAGCTCTTGTGAATTGCGGGTTTCGGAAGTTCAGTTTACCGATGGTGGTGGTGATGGTGATGGTGGTGGAGGGGGAGGTGACAATGGGGAAGGTGCTGATGATGACGGTGGTGATGGTGATGATGAAAGTGAAAGTGATGACGGCAATGGTGGTGATGAAGTGATGGTGGTGATGGTGATCATGGCGATGGCGATGACGATGGCCATGGCGATGATGATGGTGATGATGATGCTGCTGATGAAGATGATGACGATGACGATGACGATGACGATGACGATGACGATGACGATGACGATGACGATGACGATGACGATGACGATGGTGATGGTGATGGTGATGGTGATGGTGATGGTGCTGGTGGCGAGGACGATCATGATGATGATGATGATGCTGGTGATGCTGGTGGTGATGGCGGTGGTTGCCGCGAGGACAAGAGGCGATTTCTGCAGCCTGCATGGTCATCTGTTGTGTCCACTGGGGGAAACCACGATTGGCCGAACTGATTCTAATGAGTTTCTATACTGGACATGCACATGACAAAAAGATTACGACAACGGCAACTGCATATCAGCGCATCATTCCCTGGTAGCAAGTTCGCGTGCTACGAGTAGCATGTGAATCCAGTTCAAGATGCTTCGGAAAGAAATTTAAGATGCCTTCACAAATCTTAAACGCAGCCCGACAGCAGCCTTCGGAGAGCTTGGCCTTCACCCAAGATCCGTCACAGCACTGCCGCCCAACCAAGTCATCGCCACTGTCGCCGTAGAGCGCGAAGTCGTAGTTGCGTCCGTCGGCCAGGACGCCACGAAGCTGCAGCTGACCCGAGGTGGGTGCGCTCACCTCCACTGCTGCTACGGCAGAGCCACGCTTGTCTGGGGCCGCGCCATCGCTGTAGGTCGTGTCGCAGTGGACCACCGCGACATGGTCACCCCGAACCACGAAGGGTGAGTCACCGCAAGGCTTGTGCCCACAGAACACCGTCCGCACGCCTCCCTCGACCAGGAAGGCCTCGACATCCTTGTCCAACTGATCCGGCGTACCCCCTTGCAACAACGACCTCGAGAATACTATGCGGCAGAATTCCTCGTGGGGAAAGCATCCCCACGAAAAGTTGAACCTGAATCACTAGGCACTGGTAGGCGACACCCATGCCTCTTACTGCAACAGGAAACCCTAAACCTTAAACACTCAACTCCGAACCCTTTATAAATATTGTCGGGTGGCTCCACCACCACCGAGCGGCGAAAGCACGCGGGCGTGCTGGTGAGGCAGAGGAGGCCTTCACCCCCTCGCGTGCGGCCTGGGCCCCAGTACATCTTCTCCCGAAAGTCCCGCAACCCCTCCTGCATAAAGTCATTCCTGGGTGTCCATGAACCATGAACCTATTCATGAGCCGTTTTGCTCCAACTACTGGCAACTTATTCCTCGACGCGTTCTGCATTCCGATTGCTTCGGCAAAAGCAACATCGAGAAAACCTCCATGAGCAGCCCAGGCTCATTGCTTTCATCCAATCTTGCAGTGTCCCTTCCATGCATCTACCCCCACAAACTGCCCCTTCTGCAGGCTGCAAGTAGCGCATGTCCATTGTTGGGACCCAGTTGATGGCTTCCTTTGGAAGGCCACCATGCACAAACAAGCAATCCCCTATCATCACCAACAGGCAGCTGTGAAGGAGATACTCCCACACGAAGCCGTCCTCCTTCGAAACGGACGTCAGAAAGCTCTCCACCACATCCTCATCATGAATCTCACTGACCTCTTGGCCGGAAAGCAATGCAAGCTCCTTCTGTCGTAGCTCAAAGGCACCCGTAGCGGTCATCGTATGGTCCAAAATCCACCGGAGCCGGTTGGCGCGCGTGTTCACCTCCTCCAAGCTCAAGCTCCCGGCTGAGCTCTCCAGCCGTTTCTCCAAGAAGCTCCTTAGGGACACCTGGGGGGGCGCCCTCGGATAGAGGGGCACGGGCTGGGGCACGTCGATCTCATCCTCGGCCAGCTCTGCTGGGAAGCGCAGCTTGTTCAGGTCCCGGTTCCCGGCTAAGAGCCACACGCGATCCGGGTGGGACTTCTTGAAGCTCAGGAGCTGCTTTGCGATGCGCAGGTCCCCGTCGCCCTTGTCGAAGACATCGCCACCGAAAACGAAGGAATCCGAGGCTTCCTTCCTCTTGAAGGAAAGCCGTTCCTCGGAATCAAACTCCACGACCTGGCTCAACGACACACATCGACTCCAATAACCATAGTCGCCTTCACAGTCTGTGATGAACCCAATCATGGGCGACTTTTGTCGGATGTTGTCGGATTTCTATCGGTCCTGTGCCGTTTGAGCAGGAACGCTGCACGGAATTCGCATCTCGGATACAATGCATCGGCACAGCGACACGAGGACTGTGAATATGTCATGACACGCGATGATGCAAGTAATGATGCGGATATTGATTCTTGCCCATGCTGCCTGCTACTGGGAGACCAACCTCAG